CCAATTCCGCAGGGATCTAGCAGCGCAGCAAAATAATAATTCATGCAAATGTTGCAACCTGGAAAGGGTGCTATGATATTGTTACCAGCCGACCTATAAAAAACTAATTCGGGTCTAGACCTGGCCAACTAAAGGTGATCAATTCTGTGCAGGTGAGCGTGCAATGAACCCGAGCAGTTCACAACCTCTGAGGGACCAAGGAATAGGAACCCACGACACTGAAGCTGCGCTGGTCACATATGACCAGCAGTTTGCCGACTTGTTGTTGGTCACACGAGAGAAGGTTTAGCCAGTTGGGGAAGATTGGACTCGTTCCTGACTGTTTTCACCCTATGGAAAATTTTGTTCAGGAGGTTCGCTACGAACCTGGGAGGGCCATCCTTCGGCTCGTGACAAGCTGGCCACTAGCTGGCCATTGTACAATGATAGTCATCCTCGGCTCATCATGAGTTAGTCACATGATATTGGCCATTGCTCATGCCTTGCTCTTGCTCATCTGTGCACATGCCCATCTCTACATGCTCACACTCTTGTATGTATGTTCCTAGTCATACTCACAAATGAGTCAGCCTTGTCAAGGCACTTATGGAATCTGGAATGGACCCGGTTATGAGTTTGTTGTGTAGATTGCTGTTGGGCAGTGGCATGGAGAGGGTAGAAAAAAATATTGTTTTTTATGAGGAGAAAAGGAGGTTTTTTGGGTAATATTTGAGAAGGAGAGGCCTGTGCAGCCCATGTGTTGTCCACATGCGCCTACGCTGAACTCCTCCCAAAGTGAGCCACGAAAGGGAAACAGAGGAAAACGGAGAAGGGAATGGGGGGTGCTAAGGTAGGTTAGACAGCATAAACGACTTACAAATCTCTACCTCCGCTTTTGCATTCTCAACTGGACGTTTTTGGTTCTCCGGTGACGTTTGGAAGAAAGAAGTTTGCTTCTAATAAATGGCACTCTTTGTGTGAACCTTGTCCCCTTATGGAGTCTTGCATGGCAACCAAGGCACGTAGCAACCCCTCCAGCAAGCCCCCAGCACACTCACTGCTAAACTTCCCACACCTTTCATGCCACCCCCCTCCTTCCACTCACCCATTTTCTCTACTTCTCCCTTGAAAAACTCCAGCAGAATTTTTTTCGCGCACGGACTTGTTGCAGTTGCACGTTGTGCCATGCACCTTGGCATGCCAACTATGATGGAATGACTAGAACTGTGCCCGTCCTGCTATCTCTTTCCCTCTATAGGACTCAGTTTCTCCAATGATACATAGCATACAAATATTAGAACATCAGATGAGAGGTCATTCCAGATTCCCCGTGGAAGATCTTACATAATCTTCTTCAAACATTCAAACAAAAGTTAACATGATTTCAAATATGGTAGGGACGATTCCAAAGGGTTCACTAAAGAAGGTGGGGGTTTGGATGGGATACGTGGTTCAGGAAGCAAGGGAGTGCAAGTGAAGAACGAAGAAACACACAAGGGCATCCAGGGAATGCATGGTCAGCAAGGGTTAACTCACCCATGCACCAACGGTTTGCAAATACAGAGCATGCGGAATGGTGGAGCAAGAGAAGAAACATAGACATCAGAAAAATGTGAAACTGCCGAGTATGGAGGGGGGCGGGGGGAGGGGGTCATTTTTCGAGTTGGAGGCTGATGGTTTTCCATCGTTTATGAGGTGATATCTGGTGCACCGTTTTCCCCTGCAGTTTATCATCGTGTATGACGAGGAATTGCAGCAGATTGTCGAAGCCCCTTCGTGTTTTCCCCTTCTTGCCCCCGTTTATCTCTGTTTGCAGACGCGCACTGTACACGTGGAGGACAAATCGTGGTTGGTGGTGGTTTACGCAGAGTTTCCGGTTGCGTGGTTACGAGCGTTTTCATTGGTCGTTTTGAGGCTGGGCTGAAATTGCGATAGATTGCGGGATGTCTGGAGCGTGTGCCACACACTGGTTGTCCTTTGGCGAGGAACCGTTTGTGGTGTGCAGGCCACGTCATGGAAGTGAAGGTTACCGCTATGTAACCAATTTCGAACAATCCAAACACAGCTTTGTTTCTGTTATGTATTTCATGTAATGGAACTAATTTCATACTGTTGGATTTGGTAGTAATTATGCAACAGAATGTTGGATTCAACTCCAGACTTAAACCTAGCCACCGCTTAACCGATGCTATTGTATAAACTAGGTAAGGTATTTGGGCGGGAAAAGTTAGAAATGTTTGGCAAGGGCAGAACATGTTGTCGATTCAATGTCTCGTTGTTTATTTTACCTCTATTTCTTCACACAGTTACAGAATACATCCTTTTCCCTACCCATAGGAACTGGTTTAACCGCGTTCGCACAACTACGCAGCATGTTGCGCATGTTTGTGCGTTTGTTGACCTGAATATGTGCAAGGATAGACATGTGCGCAACATGTCACTGCGCCGACGTCTGGATGTCTTTTTTTACCACTATTTCTTCACACTGTTCTCTACAACATCCTCTTACCTAGCCATAGAAACTGGTTTGACCTCGTTCGGACAATTACGCAGCACGTGGGGCTTGTTTGTGCGTTTGCTGGCCTGAATCTGTGCAAGGATAGGCCAGTGTGCAACATGTCACGGCGCCAACGTCTGAATGCCTTTTTTACCACTATTTCTTCACACTGTTCTCTAGTACATCCTATTCCCTAGCCATAGGAACTGGTTTGATCTCGTTCGGACAATCACGCAGCACGTGGCGCTTGTTTGTGCGTTTGCTGGCTTGAATCTGTGCAAGGATAGGCTTGTGCGCAACATGTCACTGCGCCGACGTCTGGATGCCTTCACAATGTTCTTTAGTAAATCCTATTTCCTAGCCATAGGAACTGGTTTGACCTCGTTTGGACAATTACGCAGCACGTGGTGCTTGTTTGTGCGTTTGCTGGCTTGAATCTGTGCAAGGATAGGCCTGTGCGGAACATGTCACTGCGCCGACGTCTCGATGCCTTTTTAACCACTATTTTTTTACAATGTTCTCTATTAAATCCTATTCCCTAGCCATAGGAACTGGTTTGACCTCGTTCGGACAATTACGCAGCACGTGGTGCTTGTTTGTGCGTTTGCTGGCTTGAATCTGTGCAAGGATAGGCCTGTGCGCAACATGTCACTGCGCCGACATCTGGATGCCTTTTTAACCACTATTTCTTCACACTGTTCTCTAGTAAATTCTATTCCATAGCCATAGGAACTGGTTTGACCTCGTTCGGACAATTTCGCAGCACTTGGTGCTTGTTTGTGCGTTTGCTGGCTTGAATCTGTGCAAGGATAGGCCTGTGCGCAACATGTCACTGCGCCGAAATCTGGATGTCCTTTTAACCACTATTTCTTAACACTGTTCTCTAGTACATCCTATTCCCTAGTCATAGGAACTGGTTTGACCTCGTTCGGACAATTACGCAGCACGTGGTGCTTGTCTGTGCGTTTGCTGGCCTGAATCTGTGCAAGGATAGGCCTGTGCGCAACAGCCATGAGTCCATGTCTTGCTGTTCGGACAGGAGTGCGGCGCATAGCGCGGCTTCTGAGATCGTTCCTCGCTGTCGGAGTAACGCCTTGCAGGGCTTCCACTCAGGCCCGAGTCCTTGAAGGACTATGTTGACGAAGATCTCTTCTGAGATCGTACTCCCATGCTTCGTGATCTGGTCACGGATGTTGCGACAGCGGTTAATATTTGGATTTGCCTTCTCCCCGTGCCCCATTTTTATCTCCAGGCATTGCTGGAGAAGCCTGCTGGAGGTGACCGAATCCTTCGGCTGGTAAACTTCAACGAGGTGCTTCCAGACTTCCATTGCTGGAGCGTCGCTCTCTTTGTAGGAGCGTATGTTGAGTTGTTCCGCAGGTGTCATGTTGCGTAGTAGTACGCTGTAGGCCGTGAGGGACTCACTGTAGTACTGAGCCCTGTCGACGTCTGTGTTTTCCACCGGTTTAGAGTAAGAACCGTCGAAGTAATGGTAGATCTGCGCCGTTTGTAGGAGGAGCTCTAGCTAAAAACTCCATGTGTAGAAATCCTTGCCGTCGAACGCGGCAGTAGTCTTAATTTTTGAGACGCTGAGAAAGCGTGTTTGCGTAGAGTTGATAGCCTCACCATTTGGACGGGGGGCAGTTGTTGCTGATTTGTTTGTGTCGAGGGAGAAGGTGTGCGCGGTGGTATCACGGCTTTTCTCGGCCGGTTGTCCAGGTTGTGCTGGTTGGGAGGAGTTTCCCGCATCGCCTTTGCGCATTTCTTGGAGTTCTTTCTCCATAGTCGAAAGTCGAGCGAAAAGTTGCTCGAGGGCGGCAGTGCCGATCGTGGTTGTCGCCTCATTTGTCGCAGCTGGGTTGGGTTGTCCTTCAGCCGTCGGATCTGCTTGGCCTCCGGATCCTCCGGCCATCTTGGTCTTGGAGCGTGTGCCGCTCGCCAGGTTTCGATTCGGCGAGTTTCACGGAAGTGAAGTTGCGAAGAATCCCTGAGTAGCTCTCATGCCATGTTACAATCCCAAGTGGGACTTAGCAAAGGATCGCTCAGGATTGATCGCAGAGTGGTATTGCAGCGGAAGTTTAGACCTCAGGTCAGAGTGAATGTAAAATGACTAAGATGATGATAACATGCATACATCGGGTTTATATATAAGAGTACAGGGGAATACGAAAGGACCTAGACTAGCCATGTACTCTAAGGGGTACATTCCCTTATTACAACTGAGTTCAAAAACCGTGCGGCGTGGGAGTTCGTTTAAAACATGTTCCCGCTCTTTTCACTTCAAATGTTTCTGCTTGCATCGGTCTTCGTCTGACGGTTGCTGTGTCGCTTCGGCTCTTTCTGACTCCTCAACTTCGTACTTGGTAGAGTCGGCTCCTGCAGCATACAGGAATGCCTTTTCATAAAACTTCACATCGTAACAAAATGGGACCTCCAAATGCCAGAGGGTGGGAAGTTGAAGAGCAAAAAGCACAGGCGAAGAGAGAGAGCCAGGGCTCAGGAAGCACCCAAGAAGCTTCAGCTGATGAGCCGGGCGGACATGGTTCACTACTTGGACGTGAGAGGTTGGTGGGACGCGGGCGAGTGCGAGTGGTGCTTCGTTTGACCGCGCAGTGGCCTACCGGGCTGAGCATGCTCTTGGCATACTTGGCCCCAGGTCTAATTTCGTGCACCTGCACTTGGTTCTGCCTCCCTCCGTACCTGCTGTACCCCCGAATCGACCAGACAAGGCTATTGTTGAGTACTCCGGGAGCGTAGCACTGCAGCGGCTAGGGGGGCAGAAGGGAGTCCCGCCTCGTGAGCAGTTCTTTTGGAAGTGTGAGTGGGCGCCTCACCTTTGCGTGCAAGCCATGCTGCTCGAGTGGATGCTGAGCCTCGTGTGGGCGTGCTCATGGACCTGGGGAAAATCAGATCCAGCCTGCCCGCGATCCTGGGTTCCGCGTGTGCTGCTGCAAACCCCGCTGCTCCATCTGTCCCTGCTGGTTCTCCTGCTACCTGTGATGCTTCTCCAGCGTGGTCCTTCTGCTGGCGCTGCAGCAGCTGCTGGGCTGCCTACCGCCGTGCTGTCAGCTTCGCTACCTTCCTCGTGCTAGTGGCAACTCTATGGAAGGCCCGCATAGACGCAGCCTCTGCAACATTGGCGGCTCTTGTGTCTGAGCTTGGGGTGTGCAGGCAGGAGGAGCAGGACTGCTTTGCTTCAACGCTGGTGCAGGTGCTGGGGGTGAAGGAGAGTGCTGATCTGCAGGAAGGGTTCGGTTTTTTCATGCAGCATCGGCTGCGTGTCAGCGTGGAGAAGGTGCAGGCAGAGGGGAAGCGGGAGAAAGGGAAGAGAGCTTTCGCTTTGGGCAATGCGGGGCCAATTGCAACGGTTGCGATGAAGCTGATGGGAGGTGGCAGGGGAGTAGAGAGCATTGGAGGAGGCCGTACGGTGGGCCTGGGGGGAATTCTGCCGGCCCCAGGGGTTAGGGAGGATGGAGGAGACGGGAACGGCGGCAGTCAGGGGGGGGATGGAGGTGCGGGCAATGGGGCCAGAACTTTCAGGGATGTTGGATGGAGAGAGCATCTGAAGGGGCGTGAGTGGGAGAGGTATGTGGATGGCATGGCTTGGATTTTGGAGCATGGAGGGGGGGAAGGGAGGGGGCTCAGGTGCAGCCAATGCAGTGAGGGTTGCAGCAGCAGCAAGGACGGTGGTGGCAGCAGCTGCAACAGCTGCTATGGCGGTGGCAGAAGCAGTAGCGTTGGTGGTAGCACCAGTAGTTTGGAAGGGAAAGATGTCCCGAAAGGCATGTATGTGAGTGGCATGGGTGCCACTGACTTTTCCATTGCTGTTGCTACAGTGTTCTCCAAGCCAGAGTTCCGTGAAGATCAGCCGTTCATTGTGGACGGGAACAATGCAACTAAGACAAAAGTGGAAAGTGCAGCAATTCAGGAGGCTCGGAATAGGCTGAGATGGGAGATGAGTGAAAAAGGGAGAGTGGTTAGAGCGTCTGGAGCAAGATGCACTGACCGAGCACCAGTTTCAGTAGCGGCTGAAACTAGGGATTTTGATGCCACCGGCGCACCTGGAATTAGCAGTGCTCCTGCCTCAACGATTTCAGGTGCTACCAATTCTTCTACTGCCTCGAGTTCCTCGTCTGTTGCCAAGGGTTTTTCTGCCACTGCATCTCGAGTACCTCAACTAGGTGCCATTCTCGCCCCTGGGCTCGTGCCTGTCAACACAAACCCCTTTATAGCTGCCGTAACTTATCGAGTCAGTTGCATCTTGCAGTGGGTCCGAATCCACGGCTCGGATTTCATATTTGAGAAACGCTCCTTCAAGGACAGCCCACAAGGAAAGGTCCTGCCCATGCGTCATCCACTTCGGGACCTTCGAAGCTTGCTTCTTAGGCTTGGCGCCATCCCCAAGCCTCTTGAGGAAAGCGCCTTTTCCATGGAGTGGGAGGAGTGGCCCCAAGGCGAGGAGTGGCCCCAAGGCGAGGAGTGGCCCCAAGGCGAGGAGTGGCCCCAAGGCGAGGAGTGGCCCCAAGGCGAGGAGTGGCCCCAAGGCGAGGAGTGGCCCCAAGGCGAGGAGTGGCCCCAAGGCGAGGAGTGGCCCCAAGGCGAGGAGTGGCCCCAAGGCGAGGAGTGGCCCCAAGGCGAGGAGTGGCCCCAAGGCGAGGATTGGCCCCAAGGCGAGGAGTGGCCCCAAGGCGAGGAGTGGCCCCAAGGCGAGGAGTGGCCCCAAGGCGAGGAGTGGCCCCAAGGCGAGGAGTGGCCCCAAGGCGAGGAGTGGCCCCAAGGCGAGGAGTGGCTGCTACCAATTTTCCTGAAGATCCAAGTGCGCGTTTCTTTGGTCTGGGTATTGTGGAGGAGAGTGGGATGGGAGAGGAGGAGGGTGAAGCGACTAAGGAGGGTGAGGTGGCAGAGGAGGGTGAGCCGAGGCCATCTGAGCAGGCACAAAGAGCAGCGGGGACTGGCAGGGCTGGGAGGGGAAGAGGAAGGAGGAGATCTGGGAGGGGGGATCGCAGCAGGAACGATGAAACGGTCACAGGGCATGGGGAGGGGCAAGGCGATTTTCAAGATGCACCCACGTCCTCATTGCCCACAGACCCGTCCTCTGCAGACTCGTTGATGCCATGCCCATCATTCGCTGCAGGGCTGATGTGGACTTTGTGCTGGACTCTCTTGGTCGTGTGATCTCGCCCCCAGAGTGCAGCCAGTGCATGGAGTGCCTGAGCGCCTTTGTCCAACACATCCCCTGTTGCGCTCTCATTGCCAATTTCGCCTATCGCCCCATTGAAGCCCTTTTCAACCGCTTTCTCGCGGCCTTTCCCCCCCAGGCCCCTGAGTTTGACCATTTGCTGAAGGCGCTGCTGCTGCGGTCGCCCCTCACTGTTGAGCAGATGAAATCAATCAATGTTTCAGCGGCTGCAGGCATGAGGAGGGGTGTGAGTGGGATGCGCCAAAGGGCAGAGCAGGTGCTTTGGCTACCTACAAATTCAGGCATGAGGGAGAGCGTGATGCGTCACAAGGTGCAAGAGATGCCTGTCTTCTTCTTGCTAGCCGTTGCCTTGTATCATGCCAAGGCCATAACCAGACTCATTGGCCCTGAGGAGGAAGTTGGTGGGAGTGGGGAGGAAGAGGATTTGGGCAATGATAAGGAGGGAGATGGGGATGTGTGGCAGGAGGTGCGATCATGGTGTTTCTGTACGTTTACTGCCTGGCGGTCAAACCCGAAGCTTCTTAGGCCGGGATTGGATGAGATGTGCGGCAGAGGCAGCAGCGATGAGCGACCGAGAAAGTGGGGAGTTGACATTTGGAACCAGGCTGCAAAGTCGAGGTTCTGTGAAGACATGCCGCCGGGTCAAGGAGTGTTTGCCAGTGGCTGTGGCAGCAGCAGCAGCAGCGAGGACAGCAGCTTTAGGAGTAGCAGCATGAGAAGTAGTCACACAAGCATGGGAAACGGCAACAGCAGCGGCGGCGGCAGCGGTGGTGGTGGTGGAGAAGGAGGCTGCCATGTCAACAGCGAGGGAAATGGAGAAATGGAGGAGGTGCCTGCTTATTTGAAGCCATGGCCAGGGGGAATCAATCTGTTGGCATGTCTGCGAGAGATGCTGCTGGGGGAGCCGTGCTACCGCCCTGCCTCTCCTGGTACCCCTTATTCCCTTGCTGCTCCAGCCACCGGAGTTTCACAAAACAGTGCATCCGTTTCAGCCACTAAAGGCTCTGGTCCCTTCGCTGGTGGGGAACGTGCGTGCGGTGTTGCAGGGTGTGGGATAGTGGAGGGTGGTGGTGTGAAGCTGAGAAGCTGTGGTGGGTGTGGAAAGGTGGCGTATTGCAGCAGAGAGTGCCAAAAGGCGCACTGGCCCTCCCACAAGCTCACTTGCCCCGGCAGGACCAATGGCAAGAAGATTGGAAAGGATGAGAGCAAGGATGGCAGCGGCAATAGTGGCACGACGATTAGCCAGGTGAGTGGGCAAGGTGGGTAGGCAAGGTGGGGAGGCAAGGTGGTAAAGCAAGGTGGGGAAGAAAGGCGGGGAGGCAAGGTGGGGAGGCAAGTTGGGTGGGCAAGGTGGGGAGGCAAGGTGGGTAGGTTAGGTGAGTGGCGAGGTGAGTATTCAAGGTCAGCGGTGGGGTGTAAGACACGGACCCACTGATGCATTGTGCCCTTTGCCAGTTTGGTGTGTCAACATGGTTGCAAGCAACGAGGGCATGGGAAAGCCCTCTCTTTGCATGCACTTGGGATGCAGGTTGCTGTGCATGCTGCCGATCACTCACCTTGTGCAACAGTAGCTGGCGGAGGGCCATACTATATGCCTTGCTCAGCTTTGTTCGAGGAAAACTATACAGTGACTTTCATTCCTCACTCTTTTCCCTTTTGACATTTTCCAAGTTTTTTCTCTCACGCCTTCCCGCTTCTTGCACTTGCACCCTTAACCTCAATTGCTCTCCACAGGTCTAAGAGTGTGTATTTACGATCATGTGCCCGAAATGTTCGGGGCTTGCACAACTTGCTACTGTGGGGCGAAAGTGCAAGAGCACAATGTTAACTGCCGTTCAGTGCAGTGCCACTCCAATGGAGGCAGACACTTGATTCGGATAGAACACGAGATCCCCTTCTAGTATTAGTTCAGACATGAAGGCTTATTCTAGATCATCCGAATCTGGTGTTGGGATGTACAAGGCAAGTGCTGTTTCCTGTGTAGGTTCTCTTTCGCCTTCCATTCTGTGGCCACTTCCAAGCGCTGGCTACAATTGATAGATGCAATACGCATGCATGCCGTTTCTCGGGAGTTGTGCCAGCTGGTGTTTTTTGTCTCGGCGAATTGGGCCGACATGATCCGTGACTTACCATATTAGTCCTCTACCTTGGTGCTCCTTCTCACCTCTATGTTTAGCTCAGAAATGGCCCGTCTGACACTTGCCACAGAGGATGCTGAAAAGAACGACATACGGTATTTGAGCCATCAGTCGGTACTTGAGTGTAGGCATTGGAGCCTTAACGACCTTCCAAGCAAACTCAGAATGATGCTCTCGTTGGAGAGATGCCTACTACTCAGCACATACCCAACAGCAACACCCGTGACAAGCACGGAAGGCAGTACCAAACCTGACCCCAGAGGCCACCCTTCCAGTATCAGATGTTACAGCGGTTGGTGAAATGTACCGTACCATGCCCAACACCTTGCGCATGGTGGCAAGGAAAGCTGTTTTGTACATGTTCTTCCCATAACATTCCAGCACGGCAAGTCATCCAAGATGTTTGCACACGCACTTTGTAGGACTCCAGTTGAGGCGCCGTAAAGTGCAGACCTCTCTCGGATGGCAGCCATTCAGTATGAGACTGCGGGTGTTAGTGATAAATGGCAGTGGCGGCACTGGTGGTTGGTAGGGCAGAGCTGATGGGATGAAAGGGCCATCAATTTGCAACATGTGGGGGATGGGGGGAGGGGGGAAACCAATCATGCAACTTCTGCATTAAGTGGGCTGCATAGCAGCTTCCACTCAAGAAGCAAGCAACCTGCAACCTTCTGTGCTGGAAATGGGAGCGTTCTTCGGATTGGCCAGATCCATTCATGCCATTTTACCAAAGTGCCATGAATGATATCATCTTACCCAATAAACACACCATTGCCCTATCTTTTATTACAACGCCCAGACTTACTCGAACTTCCTGACAATGAGGAGGTCTTGGAGGCACTCTGCCCGATTGAAGTCGCAGCTACTGAACACCTTTCTCATGGTCCATGATCCCGGTATCATGATTCATGCCATGCAACGGCCAGTCCGTCCAGTTGATTACTGCAAGGGGGGTGATTGTGGCGCGGCAATGCCATGGGCAACCATAGCAGCAGCACCAACAATAGCAGCACCATCAGGTGGGTGACTCAGGTGGGTGAGTCATGTAGGTGACTCAGGCGGGTGACTCAGGCGGGTGACTCAGGTGGGTGAGTCAGGTGGGTGAGTCAGGTGGGTGAGTCAGGTGGGTGAGTCAGGTGGGTGAGTCAGGTGGGTGACTCAGGTAAGTGACTCAGGTAAGTGAGTCAGGTGGGTGGCTCAGGTGGGTGACTCAGGTGGGTGACTCAGGTGGGTGACTCTAGCTCAGGTGGGTGATTCAGGTGGGTGGCTGAGGTGGGTGGCTCAGGTGGGTGACTCAGGTGGGTGATTCAGGTGGGAGACTCAGGTGGGTGACTCTGGTGGGAGACTCAGGTCGGTGACACAGGTGGGTGGTTCAGGTGGGTGGTGGAAGTGTCAGGTGGGAGACTCACGTGCGTGACTCAGGTGCGTGACTCATGGCAGTGCTGTTGTAGGAACCTCCGTGCAGCACCAGCCACGTCGCCCCGTGGCCGTCTCCCTCTTGAAAGACGAACAGCGGGATAGGGAGTTGCGTGATGAAATGTATGTGGCGAGCCATGGGTCACCTGGTGAGTAGCAAGCGAAGCTAGGTGGGCTGCTGGTTGACCCATCGCAGCTATATTGCATGGACGAGCAGAGGGAGACGGAGGTGGGTGTTTTGAGTAATATGTTGAGTGAGGGTATTGGGCTGATTGGAAGGTACGTGCGAGTCACAAGCGGGCAACGGGTGAGGCGAGGCTTGGCTGGGCTGTTGGATGCCCTGTTGCCGTGTCCTCCTAAAAGGCACACAGAGAGAGAAGGAGGTGGGCTGTAAAGTTCATTGCTGGCTGACAGTTGGATCACCCTCAGATCAATCTCAGGTAACTCTCAGGTTATTATTGGGTCAGTCTTGGGTCAGCCTTGGGTAGTCTTGGTTCAGTCTTAGGTCAGCCTCAGGCCAAATGCTTTGAGGCTGAATTCCCCGTCCCTAAATTCCCTGTGCCTGAATTCCATTCCCTGTGCCTGAATTCCATTCCATTCCCTGTGCCTGAATTCCATTCCCTGTGCCTGAATTCCATTCCCTGTGCCTGAATTCCATTCCCTGTGCCTGAATTCCATTCCCTGTGCCTGAATTCCATTCCCTGTGCCTGAATTCCATTCCCTGTGCCTGAATTCCATTCCCTGTGCCTGAATTCCATTCCCTGTGCCTGAATTCCATTCCCTGTACCTGAATTTCATTCCCTGTGCCTGAATTCCATTCCCTGTGCCTGAATTCCATTCCCTGTGCCTGAATTCCGTTCCCTGTGCCGGAATAATCCAGACAAGCTTGATTCAGCCAGGCATGCCTCAGTCTGGGATGCAGCAGCCAGGAATGATTCAGCCAGGCAAGTCAGTAGATAGGATTCATCCGTCCATGAATCAACTAGGCAAGATTCAGCCTGGCATGAATCAGCCAGGCATGATTCAGCCTGGCCTGATTCAGCCAGGCATGGTTCAGCCAGGCATGATTCAGCTTGGCATGATTCAGCCAGGCATGATTCAGCCAGGCATGATTCAGCCAGGCATGACTCAGCCAGGCATGACTCAGCCAGGCAAGATTCAGCCAGTCATGATTCAGCCTCGCATGATTCAGCCAGGCGTGATTCAGCCAGGCATGATTCAGCCTGGCATGATTCAGCCATGCATGATTCATCCAGGCATGATTCAGCCTGGCATGATTCAGCCATGCATGATTCATCCAGGCATGATTCAGCCAGGCATGATTCAGCCAGGCATGATTCAGCCAGGCATGATCCAGCCAGGCGTGATTCATCCAGGCATGATTCAGCCAGGCATGATTCAGCCAGTAATGATTCAGACAGACATGATTCAGCCAGGCATAATTCAGCCAGGCATGATTCAGCCAGGCATGATTCAGCCAGGGATGATTCAGCCTGGAATGATTCAGCCAGGCATGATTCAGCCAGGCATGATTCAGCCTGGCATGATTCAGCAAGGCATGATTCAGCAAGGCATGATTCAGCCAGGCATGATTCAGCAAGGCATGATTCAGCCAGGCGTGAATCAGCAAGGCATGATTCAGCAAGGCATGATTCAGCCAGGCATGATTCAGCCAGGCATGTTTCAGCCAGGCATGACTCAGCCAGGCATGCCTCAGCCAGGCAAGGCTCAGCCAGTCATGATTCAGCCTGGCATGATTCAGCCAGGTGTGATTCAGCCAGGCATAATTCAGCCAGGCATGATTCAGCCAGGTATGATTCTGCCAGGCATGATTCAGCCAGGCATGGTTCAGCCAGGCATGATTCAGCCAGGCATGATTCAGACAGGCATGATTCAGGCAGGCATGGTTCAGCCAGGCATGATTCAGCCAGGCATGATTCAGCCAGGCATGATTCAGCCAGGCATGATTCAGCCAGGCATGATTCAGCATGGCAAGGTTTAGTCAGGCATGATCCAGTCAGCCACGATTCAGCGTGGCATGATTCAGCCAGGCATGAATCAGGGTGGCTAGAATGATTCATGCATGATGACTTGTTACTCAAACTGGATGCTGATGTCTTACCTAGTGAGTGCATGCATGGGTGGATGTTGATTCTAGAATCTAGATGGATCATCAATGATGGCATGGTGATTGGCTTCCAAAGTGATGAGTGTTTGATAATACCATAATAGAATACTTTAGTGGCTGGCTGTATCCGTGCTGACTGGTTGATTTCAAAGCAGAATGTTGATGGTTGTGCAACCTTGCATAATCGTGCATGCCTGCTAACGCGATGTTCAGCTTATAAATGAAGCACGCCTAATAGAACGAAGAATGTAAGGTAGCAAATTGAAAACCAGCCATAACTATTTCCTAGCAACAAATTACCAATCTTCTTCCATCTCCAACTGCATGGGACCATATAGCTTGTAACACCCTTCAGTATCTAGGCAACCAAGCAGCTTGAGCTCTGCTAAATCCTCAGGGAGAGCTCCCAGCTTCATGCAACCAAGAAGGCAGAGGTCCTTGAGTCTGGTGAGCTGACCAAAGTTCTTAGGAAGGGAGGAGATGAAGACGTTGTTCAGTTTCAGGTAGTGAAGGCAGGAGAGCTGGCTGAGAGAAGGGGGGAGACGCGTGATGGAAAAACAGTTGGTAAGGCTTAGCTTGCGCAGCCTGGATAAGGCCCCGATGCCCTCTGGAAGATAAGTCAACTTGGGTGCATAAATATCAATGGATGTCAGATGCTGCAGGCTTGTGATGGTCGCTGGCAGCTCTGTCAGCTCTTCAGCCATGTCTATGCCCAGCTGCCGTAGATCCTGTAAAGGTGACAAATCTGGAAGCCTCCTCAGGTTTCGAGCAGAACCAATGTTCAGCGTACGGAGGCGTGAAGGACCCGCCAATGAAATCAAAAGCTCCTCTGCATTGTCAGCCATGATGAGACTCAAGTCTTCTAGGCTAGAAAGACCATTGCTAATGGGCAGCCAGCATCCTGCCTCGATGGTACGCAAGCACGGCTTCCTGAGGTTTGTAAGCCCTGACATACCTGGCAGAGCCGTGGGCTTCTCATAATTACCCAGACTTAGCACCTCGAGAGTGAGTGGCAGGAATTTTGGAGATTCTTTCAGCTGCTCACACCCAGTCAGCTCCAACTGCTTCAACCTGGTAAGGCTGTCCAAACTCATTGGCACTGTACGGAGCCCGCTGCACTTATCAATACTCAAAATGCGAAGGCTTATCAAGCCCGTGACAAATTCCGGAAGCTTCTTGAGACTCGGACAGCTCTGAACGTACAGCTGTTGCAGGTTTCTCAACTGATTCAGCCCTTCTGGAAGCTCAACTATAAGGCAATTGTCCAGCTCCAGCCTGATCAGGGAAGCCAGCTGCGTAAATGAAGGTGGGAGCGGCCGATTAGCGCTGCTACCCTTTAAGAAGAGAGTGTGGAGGTTGATCAGCTCCCCGATGTCTTTTGGAAGCTCCAGCTGCGGACAATCCACCAAGCTCAGGTACTTGAGTGATATGAGGCAGCCGAAGCCCTCGGGTAAGCAGTCCAAGTGCTTGCAGTCAATCAGGAGTAATGTCTCCAGCGAGGACAGCTGGCAGAAGGAGGCAGGAAGACCATACAGCGGCAGCGAATGCAGCACCAATGTCTTCAACGCTGAAAGACTGCCAAAATCTCTGGGTAGTTTGACCATTGAAGAACGCGAGATTGTCAAGCTCGTGAGGCAGGTTAATGCAGTGAAATCCTCCGTCAGATTGGTGAGAGATTCACAAAATGTGAAGGTGAGATCTTCAAGGCTTGGCAATGCCTCTCCAATATTGTCCGGAAGCCGCCGCTGCTCGTTGCAATGGGTAAGGTGCAGCCGTTTCAAGCGCAGACATGGCAGCGTTGAAGAAAATATCGCGTGGAACTGAGCCTCGTTGAATCCAACCTTCAGCGACTCGAGGGAAGGCAGCAGCGAGAACGTGAAGGCCTGCAGACCTTCACGGGTTACCCGAACGTTTCTGGGCAAGGAGAGCTTCGTGAGGCGTGTAAGGTGGAGGAGGCTGGAAAGCTGTTGAAAATCCACGTTTGAGGTTTCGATAGAGAGAGCGGTGAGCGACGTCAAGCTCTTCAGTTCTGGATGCTGCAGGATGACGTCAGTGTTGAGGAGAAGAACTCGCAAGCGCGGTAGCTTGAACAGGGAGGCTGGTAGCGTGTCATTTCCGCGGAAACAGCAGAGAGACAGCTCCTCCAACCCAGTGCAGTGACGGAAGAAATCATCCAGGCCTGCTTCGGTTAACAGACGCTCGCCGGTCTCCCTCCAGTGCGGGTCCCTGTCCTGAGCTATTGACTCCCCCACATGAAATGCTGTCAAATGCGGGCACGACGAGGCGAGCTGGGCAAGGAAGTAATCGTCAAGAGTCTCGACGCTGCCATCGCTGAGATGCAGATAGGTCAGCTTTGGGAAGCAAGCGACCGCGTTCAGCACATCCTTGCGAGAAACGACGCGTTCTTGTTTGACGCAGAGCGCTGAGACATGACTCCGAGCGAGACGTCGCCAGCGACGGCAGATCGACGCGGCTAGGAGGTTATGAGAGCCTTCTGAGAAGTTAGGAGGAGTCGGCATCTTGGTGAATCTTTGGTCACGCAGCTCTTTTGGAGTAATATTCGCATGAATGTACTCTGGTTCAGGCCATACGAACTTCCACAAATAATCGCTCTCGAATGTGTGAGATTCAGACCGCTGGGAAGGCCAGAGGATCCTAACAAGAACGTCATCAGGGAGATTGTGGATGTGTGCTTGAGGCTCCATGGCTGCAGATACGCTTTTCTGTCGCGGTAAGTCTAAATGCTGGAGTATTCAGGGAAAGGAGTATAAGCACAAATGGTAAGGATCATTTGTTCCTGAAGATAAATGGTCATCCCAACAATCTGAATCTGGAATCTGTTGCTCAGCAGCACTAAAGCAGCTAGAATCGAGGAAGCTGGAGAGGTTGGCTGTTTGGGAGCTCAACGGATCTTGCAGAAGCACAACGGTTCTGGCAGGGGCACAACGGTTCTGGCAGGGGCACAACGGTTCTGGCAGGGGCACAACGGTTCTGGCAGGGGCACAACGGTTCTGGCAGGGGCACAACGGTTCTGACAGTGGCACGACGGTTAGGGCGCCTTCCTGCGAAGTCTGGAGATGGACAGCCCCAGAAGTGCAGATTTTTTTGTCCACCCTGGCAGCTTCCACGTCTACCCCAAGTGCAAGCCGATTCTGATGTGTGTGATCGTTAGGAGTATGCGAAACCTAACGCCCAATCAGATTTGCCTGCGCGACTCAATTTACAGTCAGCGTTCGCAACCCTAAACCCTCAACAGATTCTCGCCACACGTCAAAGGATCTCATCGTGGGGGGTCTTCGCACGTTCAGGGTCTGTGAACTCACTCGATGTCCAGATTCGTTGCCTTCCACCTCATCACAATGACTACTCACCTGCACGTGCGAAGTGCACTTTTCGCTGTCGGAACTTCGAAGTTCGGACAGCCCAGGAAGGCGATCTTATATAGGAAGCAGAACGTTTATGGATGGACGCATCTGCGAGGAGCAGGGAGGGACAGAATGGCGGAACTGTACATGGACCAAAAACTCTTCCAGGGTAAGTGGTTGGGTTGGGTTAAGAGGTGTACAGTAGCTGATTACGAAACTTCACGACACATTTGTTACACGAACGAACTTGTACGATTCCACCAAGTCTTATCAGCTCGAGGGTTCCAATTTCACGCTCTAGCTCACAAGGGACCTGTCCGTGCGACATACTTCAGAACGATCTGAAAAATATTCGTTCGCATGCGACGCGAGGCGTAGACCATACGGGAGAGTGATACCGCGATATTTTTTCAGAAAAGTATCGAAGAGAATGCCATCATCATCTTTCGGCTTCTGGAGTACCTTATCAGCCACTCCGCCCCTACCAGTTGCGCCACGGACGGAAGCCGCTGGAGCGATTACCCTCGAGCAGCTTGAACCGATGTCGAGTACCGCGTTTCTTCCGCCGCACAGCGATGCGAGGGGATGCTCGCAGATGTTCGTAGCAGAGTCGCTCGAGTCTTGAATTTCGAATCCTGAATCCCGAATGCTGAATCCCATATCCCGGTTCTTCTTCACACACGCCCAGTCTTCCTCTACGACGGTGCCTTGAGTCGACGCTGCTGCTGCGATTCACGATCCACCTCACGGCGGCTGGTGTAACAACCACGGCCCTTATAACAACAGGCAACCGCGGGTTCAATGTAAATCCTCCTTGACAATTTATATAAAATCAAAGTTACAATGCTTGAAATTATCTAATTAATCCCACCAAGGGATAATCAAGCCTTAGCCTAAGCTCAAAGGATCTTGAGAGGAGAAGTTGTAGCTCTTGAAGAAACTTGGGTAGATAAGTAGCTTCTTGTAGAGCTTATCCTTGAAAATAACACAAGTCTAGTTGTGTAGGAGGGCTTGTTAGGAGAGCCAAAGTAACTTAGAGAGATCCCATTTCCAAGTTGGTAAGTTGGAGTTGGGAAGTAGGAATGAGCTTGAAAGCTCCAACCCCTTCCATCATACCCCTTGGGGCTCTTCCCAACCATGGCTTCCATGGTTGGGGAGCTAATAGGCTTGGAGCCTATGTGGCACTTTAGTTTGGTTGGGGAAAACCCAACTTAGCACAATTGTATGGTTGTTTTAAACTTTGTGTGGATTGTAACAACAACTGTCAACTTCCCATTGGTTGGAAATCCAACCTTGCACATTCATTTGGTTGGGTTGGAAAACTTCCCAACCTTCACATTTGTTGGGTTGGAAAGTCCCAAGCCTCCAGGTTGAGGGTTGGGAAAACCAAAGCAATGTTCTTCTCCAACTCAACCTTTCCAATTTCCTTCACGTCATTTCTCATCGAGGAAGTCTCTCGATGTTTGACTTAAGAAGTTAGCCGTAGATTAGGCAGAGTAGGTCATGCGTTACACTCCTCCCCCCCTAGGTGGCAACGTCCCCGTTGCCTTAGGGTGCTTCTGAGGACGAGCGCTTCGAGCACGCCATGTCACATTACGACCAGGGTCAACACCATCCACTGGTTGTGCGGCAGCTCGTCGAGCCATGTCTGTCATGTATGACTAAACTGCAGTTTCAGTCAAATGCTCTTCTGGCTCCCATGAGTTGTGTTCAGGCCCGTAGCCTTTCCACTTGATGAGGAACTCTCGTACTGTTTTGCGGCTGCGCTGTCGATCACGATGCATCAGCACTCGTTCGACTTCATAAAACGGTTCCTCCCCCAGGACGATCGTTGGTGGCGGCAAGTACTTACCCCCTGCAACGTACTTGTTCAACAGAGACACGTGGAAGACGTCGTGAATCTGTAGTGTATCACGTAGCTTAAGCTTGTAGGCTACCACACCAACACGCTTGATCACCTCGAATGGCCCAATCCATCGAGGGAACAGCTTTCGTGCTCCAGGGATTTTGAGACGAATGTTCTTCGTGCTCAACAAAACTTTGTCTCCAACCTCAAATGAGACTTCCCGGCGTTTCATGTCGGCGTAAGACTTTTGTCGCTGCTGAGAGAGTTGCAGCCAATGGCGAGCAGACTTAAGCGCTTCTTACTGCTTGCCAACAAAGTCTTTAGCGGCAGGAATTTTCAATCCACCGATCCCATGCGTAGCAGGTGTTGTGGGATGCCGACCATAGTTCAGAATGAAAGGTTTCTCACGTGTACCTTCATGAACTGAATTGTTCACTGCGAATACAACGACAGGCAACAACTCGTCCCAATCATCCTGAGTTGGGCCAATGAATGAACGAAGCGTCTGTTCATGTGTCCGGTTTGTTCGTTCCGTCTGCCCATCTGTTTGTGGGTGGAACGCCAATGACATCTTGAGCTTCGTCCCTAGTGTCCGTGTGACTTCTTGCCAGAACCGGCTTGTGAAGCGCGGATCTCGGTCGGACACCAAGACACGTGGTAACCCGTGTAAGCGGAAAACGTGCGCCACAAACAATTTGGCCGTATCTTCCGCAGATACGTCAGTTGTCGTAGCCACGAAATGCACCATTTTTGTCAGGCGATCCACAAACACTAGGATCGCTGTATGGCCATCGCGAGACTTGGGAAGATCCGTGATAAAATCCAAGGATACGCTCTCCCAAGGTTCATTCGGGATCTCGAGTGGTTGAAGCAAACCACCAGGCTTCTTTGTGTCCGTTTTATTTCGTGCGCATGCATCGCATCGCGCCACGAATTGTTGGACCTCAGTGCCCAATCCCGGCCACCAGTACACATCACTCAAGGCCCACCTCGTCTTCTTGACCCCTAGGTGTCCTCCGTACTTAGCGGCATGTATTTCTTCCAGAATATCATTCCGCAGGTTACCCACGTGAGGTACAAAAATCTCATTCTTACGCCACCAGAGCTCGTGCTCCCACTTGAGTTCCTTCGTGTTTCGTGGGTTCTGAAACCAGGGGTCAATCTGATACCCTGTGCGGATGCGTTTCAGAAAACCACTGAAGGTAATCTCACTCACTCGAGCCGTTGCTAGGACACTGAAGCAAGCAGAAAATACTGCCGCATCTTCTGTGTCGTCTAGCCATGTTGCTGCCCCTATCGGCTGTCTGCTGAGGGGGTCAGCCAGGTTCGTCGAACCTGCTCGATATCGAATATCGAAGGTGAACCCACTAAGGAGTTCCGCCCATCGGGCTTGACGTCGAGTAAGCGTGGCTTGGGTGGCGAAATAGGTGTTTGGACAGTGATCAGTCGTAACCACAAAGTCCACACCCTCCAGATAACATCGCCATGTGCGTAGCGCATGAACGACCGCCAACAGTTCTTGTTCGGACGTCGTATAGCGCTGCTCTGCCGGGGAGAGCTTTCGACTCTCAAATGCCACTGGTCTCCCTTCTTGCAAGAGGACCGCCCCAATCCCAATCAATGAGGCGTCAGTAACAACCTCATAGGGCTTTGTCGGATCTGGTAAAACCAGTACCGGAGCATTGGTCAGCATTCGCTTGACCTCGTCGAATGCCTTTTGGCATTGTTGTGTCCATTGCCAAGCACTACTCTTGCGAGTGAGGGCCGTCAATGGAGCAACAACGGTAGAATAATTCTGCAAAAATCGACAAAAATAGTTCGCCAGTCCTAAAAACGACCTGATTTGACCCACATCTTGTGGCACCGGCCAGTTTTGGACTGCGACAACTTTCTTTGGGTCTACTTTGAGACCATCATTTCCCACGAGATGGCCAAGATATTCCAACTCGCGTTTGTAGAAATGACATTTCCATAGGCGAGCATAGAACTTATGCTCTCGGAGTTTCCCTAACACCCATTTAAGGTGTCGCGTGTGCTCCTCTTCCGTCTTGGAATAAACCAAGATGTCATCCAGATAGACTAGAACGAACTGTCCAATCCCCTCGCGAAAGACATCATTCATAGCTCTTTGAAAAGATGCAGGAGCATTGGTCAAGCCAAAGCTCAGCACTCGCCACTGAAAATGACCAAACGGCGATCGGAAAGCCGTCTTGGGTACATCTTCTTCAGTGATGCGCAATTGGTGATACCCTTGTGCGAGGTCCAATGCGCTGAACCACTGGGCACCCTGGAGTTTGTCGAACAGGTCCTCTATTCTCGGTAGGGGATACCTGTTCTTCACCGTTATCTTGTTCAGAGCACGGTAGTCTACGCACATGCGTAACCCTCCGCCCTTTTTGTTCACGAACAAGATCGGCGCTCCGTAAGGTGATGCGCTTGGTTCAATCCATCCCTTCCTGAGGTACTCCTCAATTTGTTGTTTAGCCTCCTCGTACTCAGCTGGACTGAGGCGATACAGAGGTCTAAACGGTGGGAGCTTTCCAGGCTCCACTGGGATGGTGTGACCGACAGCACGGTCTGGAGGAAGGCCATCTGGGATGGGCTTAAAAACCTCTGCAAACTCGTCCGCCAGTGCTCTCATCTGAGGCGGGAAATCCTCGACCCCAGGCATCTCGTGTTCAGCATTCTCAAGCTGTACCACAAAGAAGGTATCGGCTTGTCGAACATGCTGTCCGAACTCGTTTGCGAGCGCAAAACTCACATCGGGACGCTCCGACGTTTGTTGTTCGTTTGTGATCAAGTCGTTAGGCACTTGCCATTGGACTGTGTCACCATTCTTTGAGAATGAGACAGTATTGTCCTGGAAATCGAGCTTGACTTCATTCGCTCGAAGCCAATCCATTCCAAGGACAAGGTCGACGCCTGCGAGAAGGGGTAAAACATATGCGCAAATTTCTTCGTGATAACCCTCAATATCCATGTTGATCCGTGTCTGCCCTTTGCTTGGGATAATGCTATCATCACCAAGGCGAATGGGGCAAGACGGTCCTTCAACGAGGAACGTGCGTGCTGTGGCCCACTTTTCGTCAAAGAGGGAAACAGTTGCACCCGTGTCAACAAGGATTTTTGCGTTTTCCCCGTTCACGCTACCCGCAAGCAACAAATTTTGTTGATGCTTTGGGCGAATAGGACATGCCACAATACTCATCGAGGGTTTGAAGTACACCTTGACGTTGTGACGAGCGCGTCCGTGTGACTGAGAGTTGGTCCACCACACATGGTGTCCCTTGTCCCACGCCGCTAGGACCGGCCATCCACGAAGCGCATGGAACAATTCGCCTTTCACTGTGCGAGTCACCAACGTGATCGAAGTCAGAGGGTGCTCTTGAGTGCAACGACTCACAATCTCAATGACCGAAGGCAGAATGTCCAAGCCACAGAAAATGATTGAAAACTTATCTTGCATTGCTGCCATGGTGATGTTCTCAAGTGGGTACGATCGAGGGTAAAAAACAGAGTTTTTATTAAAAGAAGAGGCAAACAAACAGGGATTTTGCAATCAGCAAGCTTCTCTAGCTTTAATAGATCATCATCACATAGCACATATGCCTCATCCACTCGATCTACTCCTCCAACTAGGTACCCACACCCTAGTTGGGCTTCTGAAAATCCTTCTTTCCAGAAGGTCCCGCGCCGCCTGGCTTCGGCTTCCCAGAGTACTTGATTGGGTTCTTGTTACGGCACTGCTTTTGGATGTGTCCAATAAATCCACAGCCGCGACACCGCATCTTGGAGAAGTCCGGCTTGTTAGGGCCATGACCTCCCCCCCCGTTAGCCCTCTTGGCCTGTGGTCCAGGCTGGTGCTCACGCTGCTGGAAAGGTCGCTTATTCGAACCGCCTCCGCCATTGGCGCTCTGGGGCCAGTTCCCACGACCACCGGAGCCCTCAGCACGGGGCTGCTGGTCGGCCTTTGCAGGACCATGGATATATGTGCGAATGACGGTGTCAGTTTTGATCACCTGCTCCTTCAGCTCCTTGTAAGTCGTCCAATTGGTCATGCCGCCGATCATGTGTGCCTCTTGCAGGTTGACAGGGAGGCCTTTCATAAAGAGGTGCATCATCTCCTCCTCGGACAAGGGCTTCTGGAGCGAGCGTGCTGCGGCCTCCAACTCGACCGCATATTCCTGCACCGGACGGTCATGACACTTGATATGCTCAAGGCGTCCGAGCAGTTCCAGGTCGGACTTCTTGACCATGAATGCCTCTTTCAGCGCGGTGCAAAACTCCGGCCACCCAAATGGTCCATGCGCCTGCTTCTTAGCGCCATACACTGCCCTCCGGGCCACCTCGTCCAATGCATGAGTGGCTGCAGTGACGCGAGCCTCAGGACGCACATTCACAAGGATCATGGTTTTATTCACCAGATCAAGCCAAGGCTGCACCTCCGTCTTGCGATGGTGAAACTCAAGCAGAGGCGCCAAGAGAGACCCAAAGGGCGAGGTTTCAGTTGGAGGTGGCTGATGCACAGCTGTCGCAACGCCTACCGCTGGGGGTGCGGGTGGAGCGGGTGCCGACTGAGCAGCAGGAGCGGGCCTACGCCCAGGAGGAGGTTCGTAGATACCCTCCCTCCTAAGTTTGGTCACCTGCTCATTGAGCTTGTTGAATGATACTTGCAGATTATTGCAAGTCTTCTGAAGCCACTCAATTTCACGGTTCTTAGTGCCCAGGCTGCGACGGAACTCAGTAACCTCCTTCATGGTAATGCTCAGTCGAGCCTCGAGGTTATGAGTGTGCTTCTTGAGTCCATCAATGGACGTCTGCTGCTGCAAGATGGTGATATTCTGAGTTGCCACCTTAGCCTGGAGTTGGACAATCTCCTCGGAGATAGGATAAGTCGTGCCTTCACCCTCAGTGAAGTCATTTTCATCACCAGTGGCCTCCTTCCCACAGGTGTTATCCTCTTCCCCAAGGTTGTCAGGGACACCATGGTTCTCAGCTTCACCATGGTGCTCAGCTTCACCATGGTGCTCAGCTTCATCATGGTTTTCAGCTTCACCATGGTTATGCTCATCTCCAAGGTCCAGGTCCAAGTCCTCAATATCATCCAATTCAATGTCAGCCATTGCCTTATCTTGATTGAGGTCAATCTCAGCAGCATTGTTCACCACCTCATTAGGTGCAGTGGGCCCTTCCTCCCTTGCCATGTCCTTCTCTTGGCCAGATGCCATAAGGATTAAGGGAGCTTGTAAGATCTGGGTTGATTCTGTTAAAGTCTTTTTACCACCTCAATGGTAAAGCAAGAAATTCTTATAAAAGAAATTTCTTCTACAGAATAATCCAAGTTACCCAAGGTAACAGATTTGTTGTCAAGCACTCCCAATCACCTAAGTGAAAGGGCAGGGTCTATCCAAATCTCAATGAAGAGAACTTGTATAACCCTCAACAAATCCTCCAGATCCAAGTTTATACTCCACTACTCAACAGTAGAGAGTCTTCCACCAAAAGGTGGGCAAGAGAGATAAAAATCTCTCTTCTTAGCTTGAAATTGCAGATGTAGATCTTGTAGATCTTGAACTCTTCAAGCTTCCAGATCTTGAGTATTCTCTTTAAAGAGAAATCACAACTCTAAGATCTATAAAAAAAATTTCTAGGGGCAAAATCCCCACTAGGCTTAGGATAACCCTAGCTCTAGATACCAATGTAACAACCACGGCCCTTATAACAACAGGCAACCGCGGGTTCAATGTAAATCCTCCTTGACAATTTATATAAAATCAAAATTACAATGCTTGAAATTATCTAATTAATCCCACCAAGGGATAATCAAGCCTTAGCCTAAGCTCAAAGGATCTTGAGAGGAGAAGTTGTAGCTCTTGAAGAAACTTGGGTAGATAAGTAGCTTCTTGTAGAGCTTATCCTTGAAAATAACACAAGTCTAGTTGTGTAGGAGGGCTTGTTAGGAGAGCCAAAGTAACTTAGAGAGATCCCATTTCCAAGTTGGTAAGTTGGAGTTGGGAAGTAGGAATGAGCTTGAAAGCTCCAACCCCTTCCATCATACCCCTTGGGGCTCTTCCCAACCATGGCTTCCATGGTTGGAGAGCTAATAGGCTTGGAGCCTATATGGCACTTTAGTTTGGTTGGGGAAAACCCAACTTAGCACAATTGTATGGTTGTTTTAAACTTTGTGTGGATTGTAACAACAACTGTCAACTTCCCATTGGTTGGAAATCCAACCTTGCACATTCATTTGGTTGGGTTGGAAAACTTCCCAGCCTTCACATTTGTTGGGTTGGAAAGTCCCAAGCCTCCAGGTTGAGGGTTGGGAAAACCAAAGCAATGTTCTTCTCCAACTCAACCTTTCCAATTTCCTTCACGTTATTTCTCATCGAGGAAGTCTCTCGATGTTTGACTTAGGAAGTTAGCCGTAGATTAGGCAGAGTAGGTCATGCGTTACAGCTGGGATATTTCCGGTAAATGGGAATCCGCAGTTTCACCGATCACATTCTCGCCTGTAGGCGACAAGCCAAGCGGATTAAAAACGCCAAGCAACGCGATTGGCATCGGCAGTGTTAGGCGCGGTGGCGGGGATAGCTGGAGGGAGGACGAGGCGACGATGAAAAGGGGGTTGAAGGGGGTTGAGGGGGGTTGAAGGGAGTTGAGGGGGGTTGACTGGGGACCTGCTGATGGGTTTGGCGGAGGCCATGGAGGACGCGCTTGACGTTTGCAGCGCTGGTGGGAGGGGTAGTGCGTGGGAGTCGGTGAGGGGTCTCTGTAGGGTAGGGCCGCATGTGAGAGTCGGTGAAGGAAGGGTGAAGGGGGGGTGAAGAAGGGAAGGTGCTGCTCGGCGTTGCAGCACCTCGTGCAGAGTCAGTCAGAGGGGGGGTACTTTGGGAAATTCTTCGAAACGCCCTGCAACGCGAAGAAGGTGCTGCTGGAGCTGGCGAAGGCGAAATAGGGTGCAAAAAGGGTAACGGTGGAGATTGGCAAGGTGAGCGAGTTGGTGCGGGACGGGAGTTTGGGGGGGATGCGTGCACGCATCTTTCGAGTCACTTGTCTGCGATGGTGGTAAGGGGGCGGCTGGGTTGCTGAATGTCTCCCAGATGGGAATTGCTGAGAGTCCGTGAGGGCTCACCGCGCAGTCAGTGAGGGTGGCGGTAGAATGGCTGTGAGAGTGAGTGGAGGTGAGACTCATTACCCCATCCCCCCTCCAACTACCTCTCGGGTTCCCTCTTCCCACCCAGCTCCCATTCGCATAACCCCCGCCATCCCATTCATTCAACTTCGCATTTGTGCATTCCACACCAAGGCACTGGCCCTTCTCTCCCTCCTCCCAGTTCCGCACAGACACGATTTCACGTCCTTACTCCCCTCCCCTGCGGCACCGTCTCCCACATCCCTCCCCACTAGCTGCGCACCATCTTCTTCTGTCTGTGATGACTGCTGGCCCTATGGCACTGTCTCCCCTCTCATAAGCTACTGCCACTTTTCCTCCCTTCCCATTTCCTCCTCCTCCCTCCCAGCTCCGCACCTGCTTCTCCTACACCCACCACCCCCACGGATTCCTGCCCCCACGGGTTCCTGCCCCCACGGATTCCTGCCCCCACAGATTCCTGCCGCTACTGTGTGGCGCACTGCTCACCCAGGCACTGTCCCGTCCTCTCCCCTTTCCACCTCCCCCAACGCTTCCTGCTCTCAGCCAGGCACTGTCTCTTCCTCTGCTCACCAGCTCCGCACCTGCTTCTTGTTACTGATACTGCAAGATTGCCCCATCCATCCCCTCTGTGGTTTGTGATATTGTAATACCCAGCGGGCTGGGCATGTGCTGATTGGATGGCCTATGCTTTCAGTGTATATGTAAACTATCTCATCAGCTTGCAGACAAGCATGTGCTGACCAAACAGTGTGCCAAAAGTTTCTTCCCAGGCAACTTAGTTTGAAGCCACACTGAGAAAATCAGTTTTGAGCCAACCCTTTGCACTGATTGAGGCACAATTTTGAGCAAGGCGCACTGATATTTCAGTGTGCCGTAAGTTATACGTGCTGATATTTCACTGAGTCCTTCTCTGGAAGATCACATGTGTTTCTCTTGTTATTCACAACTATAGAAGCAACATGTGGCCATCCTTTGCCTCCTGCTACATACCGTTTGGCCCCGGATATAAGCGCATATGCGCTTATAATAAGTAATGATTTTTTAGGGGTGGCGCTTGTAATTGAGGAACGGCCATAAGCGCCAGCGCTTATAAAATGTCAAATTGAGAAAGCTTGCTTTCTGTTCTTGCAAAGGCAACTGGCTTCATTACAATTGCAGTAATACAACATTCTCGTCCAACTATGGATCATACAAATATTGGTACAACTAGGGCGGGTGGGTGGGGAGTGAAACTGCAAAGTTGTGAAATAAAGTCGTGGGTGGAGGCCAAATGGCCTCCAACTCTCGTTATGTACTCGGCGAATTGTAATTCGCCGTTGCTTTGCTTCGTTACAGGCAGCTGCGCTTTCACAATACACATTTTTAGAAAGTGTTACACACTTCCGAAAAAAATCATATTCCAATTTTGGTTTTCGAAGTATTAAAGTGAAGCCCACAATAAGGCGAACACAACTGTGAACGTTGCGCATGGGATCGTGCATGAAATTCCGGCAAAAACTGCCGCGACTCGATTTCTCACCGCACAGAACCTGTCCTGGAGCAACACACCTGCCAGCGATGACGTGCATCCTGGCGTGCGGCCCAATAGGGTTTACATGCGCTGCCAGGGTGCCACATTTCACCCGAACTTTCGAGAAGGGGGTGGCATATTCCTGCCAGCGCAGCAGATACGTGCCGCGATTCCCTCCTCTGCGGGTTTAGGCAGGGGGGGGATCTGACTATGCCTGAAGAGGAACTCGAGCCGCACACCAGAAGGGGTCCCCTCCAAACCCTCATTTCTTCGCCTTCTCTTTCACTTTTTTCATTCAGATTCTTGGTCTCGCCCGCCATGCTGCGGAAGCCATGGCGGAATTCGCTGGCACTCATTTCTTGTCCAAAAAGAAGCCCGCGCGTAGGCCCGCCTTCGTAGTCGACGCGGACGGATGGTACTCCCGTGTCCCACCTGAACCACCAGAGCCACCACAGCCTCCATCGCCTCCTGCGCCGCCTGCTCCTCCTGCTCCTCCTTTGCCGCCTGCGCCTCCTGCTCCTCCTGTTCCTCCGTCTCCTCCGATTCTGGGATGTCCTCACAACACAGGGGATCCGCCCGTGCTCACGCTCCTGCTCCCGACTGCGTTCGACGAGTGGCTGGAGGAACCGGAAAGCAACAAGGCCCAAGATGTTGAGGTACCCGGCGCACCTTACCCTGGACCACGTTGGGGCCGGCCCGATGATTGCACCACGTGGGACGAATCTGCACTCGGAGCTGACGACGACGTGGCTGAGGACGAGGAAGCGAGCCGTGATGACGGCGACGAGGCTGAGGAAGGTGGCGCGCAGGGCGGCACCGCTGAGGATGTGTTTCCTGAGGGCGTACCTGGTGGCGACAATGACGAGGGTGTCGAGTACTGGTCACGTGACGGGCTCCCCGAGGAACTGCCGATACCTTCCTTTCCACCAGCTAACCGCAAGCGACCCCACCCGTCTACCCAGAACCGTGATGCCCGCCCCCCCTCTCCCAGGCACAAGATCAGCGATCACAAGCGCAAAGGCTACACCGCTGCGGAGAAGTTGAAGTACGTCGCGATGCTGGATGTGGCGAAGTCGGTGCGCGCACTAGCTCGGGAGTGTGGGATTCACCGGAAGTGTCTCGCCAACTGGAAGGTGGCCGTGGGGTTACTCAAAGAAGCACACTCCGGGCGGAAGCGCATGCACGGTCGCGGGCGGGCCTCGTGGTACCGCCCCATGGAGTTGAAGGTGTACGAGCGGCTCCTGGACTGGCGCCGCAAAGGAACCGCCGTGTCGGTCGGCCGTCTGCGGGAGTGGTCGAGGGAGTTCATGAAGATCCTCTACCCAGACGTCAAGTGGAGCGGGAGTCAGAGATGGTCGGAGCGGTTTCGGAAGCGGTGGAATCTGAGCGTCCGCATGAAGACGCGGGTTGCTCAGAAAACAGCCGCTCGTAAGATTACGCCCCTTGCTTTTATGTCTAAGTTTCAGGTTCACTTACTAAACTGCCGTCTATCCCGCCCGCTTTCCCCCGTCTCACAGATCTTGCGGAGCAGTGCCAGAAATTCTGGCGTTTTGTCCGACACATGCGTCGCGCGCGCGGCATCGAGCCATGCTGGATCCTCAACGCTGACCAGACGCCGCTCTGGCTGGAGATGCCCGCCACCACGACCGTGGATCAGACGGGCGTACGGTCGGTGCCCATCCGGAGTGCAGGCTACTAGAAGGAGCGTGTGACCGTGATGCTGGCGTGCACGGCGGACGGGGCGAAGCTCAAGCCGTGGGTATTTTTCAAGCGGAAGACGCTGCCGAAGGGCAACTTTCCTCCTGGTAATAAGTAGCAACTGCCGCTGTCTTACCGTATCGTTTCTCATGCCGCGCTAACAGTTTAAGTGCCATTTCTGTGTGCAGATGTGGTCGTGGCTTGCCACGAGAACGGGTGGATGAATGCAGAAGGCGTCATCCGCTGGCTTGACGACTGTGTCAAGCCCTTCTTGCAGCCCCGATTTGGCAGGTGTGCGAAGAGCTCTATGCTCGTGCTGGATTCCTACCGCGGCCACCTTACCGAGGGGGTGAAGGAGAAGCTCCGCGAGATCAACTGCGTGCCTGCTGTCATCCCGTCGGGTTGTACGGGTGAGGTTCAGCCACTCGACGTCTCCATCAACAAGAGCTTCAAAGCATCTGTTCGTCAGCAGTACCAGAAGTGGTTTCAGGAGGAGGGCCAAGAGCAACTGACACCTGCAGGTACGTTGTTTCCGTTAAACACGCATGTTTATCCCCCTTTCACCCTTGGTCACTGACATGGCTTTCCCGGGTGTCTCTGTTGCGGTGCAGGGAATCTGAAGAAGCCCCCCCCAGAAGTGGTCCTTCGATGGATTTCACAAGCCTGGAAAGCAGTACCCTCCGACCTCGTCAAGCGCGCCTTCCTCACCTGCGGCATTAGCAACGCGCTTGACGGCAGCGAGGACCACCTCGCCATGGCGCACAGGCGGAGCCAACTAACGGCGGAAGTGAATGTAGACGACGGCATCATCGCCGACGGATTTTTCGGCAACAACTGCCAGGAGCCCGAGTCTGACGAGGAGTAGTTCCGGTAGAATAGCAGATTAAGTCTAAAATTGTGTACCTAGGTAGAATAGCAGATTAAGTCTAAAATTGTGTACTAACTTGTAGTATTCGTTGAAGCGAACGATGTTATAGTTGTTGTTTGCTTTTGTTGTGGTGGTAAAAAAAGTGTTAATATTGAGGGTGGCGCTTATAATAAGGAAGGGTACAAAAGGGGTGGCGCTTATAATCGAGGATCGGCCATAAGCGCCATGCTCCAGATAGAAGCGCCGGCGCCTGTAATAGGCCGGCGCCTACCGTATCACCCCGGATATAAGCGCCACGGCGCTTATAATAAAATCGATTTTTTTAAGGGTGGCGCTTGTAATTGAATAATGGCCATAAGCGCCGGCGCTTATATAATGGTAAAAATGAATTTGCATAATTTAGGCATCAAATCGAAGCCCGTATTAAGGCGAACAAGACTGTGTAACGTGCGCATGGCATCATGCATGGAAACACGCCGAAAACAGACGCGCTTCGGTTTCCAACCGCACAAAGCCCGTCCAGGAGCAGCTCACCTGCCAGCGCTGATGCGAAACTTGCCTAGCGGCCCAATCAGGCTTTCGTGTGCTGGGTGGCAGCAGAATCCTCACCCGAACCATCTAGAAGCGGCCATCATGCCCTGCCAGCGCAGCATCGTGCGTGGCGCTAAACCCTCCTCTCCGGGTTCAGACAGGGGACACCCGTCTCTCCTCGACGAGGACCCCGTGGCGCTAGCCAGAAGGGGTCCCTTTGAATCCTTCATTTGTTCATTGCTTCTTTCAGTTTTTCGTTCTTGGTTCTTGATCTCTCCCGCCATGTTGCGGAAGCTATGGCGGAATTCACCGGGGTTCACTTCTTGTTCAAGAAGAAGCCTCCACGGAGGCCCGCGTTTAGAGTAGACGAAGACGGGTGGTACTCCCGCGTCCCACCATCTCCACCTAAGCCACCACAGCCTCCTGCGCCTCCTGCGCCTCCTGCTCCTCCTTCGCCTCCTGCACCTCCTGAGCCTCCTGTTCCTCCGACTCCTCCGTGCTCGCATAGTGCCGCGCCTCCGCTACACGCTGGATCAACGCCCGTGCTGACGCTGCTGCTCCCATCGTCGTTTGACGAGTACCTCTCCGAACCTGAGTCTAAGAAGCCGCAAGATGAGTGGGTGGAAGTGGAGCACGTTCCTGGTTCACGGTGGGGACAGCCTGACGACTGCCCGTGGGACGAATCGCAAGTCGGCGCCGACGATGATGTTGAAGCCGAAGCTGACGCTGACGAAGAGGAAGCGAGCGGCACTGTCGGCGGCGAGTATGGCACGGAAGCGAGCGGCGGGGGCGGCGCCGAGGGCGGCTCCGCTGAAGATTTTTTCCCGAAGGCGTTCCCGGCGACGATGCCGATGACGGCGTGGAGTACTGGTCACGCGACGGGCTTCCCGAGACCCTGCCGATACCTTCCTATCCCCCGATGAATCGCAAGCGACCCCACCCTTCTTCCCAGAACCGTGATGCCCGCCCCCCGTCTCCCAGGCACAAGCTCACAGAGCACAAGAGGCAAGGTTACACCACCGCGGAGAAGTTGAAGTGGGTTGCCAGGCTTGCTGTGGCAACGTCGGTGCGCGCTTTGGCTCGCGAGAGCGGAATCCACCCCAAGTGCCTCACGAACTGGAAGCGGGCGGCGGAGTTCCTCAAAGACGTGCACTCCGCTCGGAAACGCATGCACGGCCGCGATCGGGCATCGTGGTATCGGCCTATGGAGTTGAAAGTGTACGAGAAGCTTCTCGAGTGGCGCCGCAAGGGAACCGCCGTATCAGTCAGCCGCCTGCAGGAGTGGTCGCGGGAATACATGAAGCTGCTGTACCCGGACAAGCCCTGGAAAGGGAGCCAGAGGTGGTCGGAGCGCTTTCGGCGACGATGGAACCTGAGTGTCTGCATGAAGACCCGGGTTGCCCAGAAAACCCAGTCGCGTAAGAGTTACCCCATGTACTTTGCCGTGTTAATGTTTACTTGTTTTACCGGTACTAACACCCGCCATCTGTGACCGTCCTGCCTTCCACCTCCCTTCAGATGTCGCGGAGCAGTGCAGAAGCTTCTGGAAGTTCGTGCGTGGCATGCGTCGTGAGCGCGGCATCGACACCGCGTGGATCATCAACGCGGACCAGACGCCGCTCTGGCTGGAGATGCCCGCCACCACCACCGTGGATGAATCGGGTGTTCGCTCGGTGCCTATCAGGAGCGCGGGGTATCAGAAGCAGCGTGTGACGGTGATGTTGGCGTGTACGGCGGACGGACGGAAGCTGAAGCCGTGGGTGTACTTCAAGCGCAAGACCGTGCCAAAGGGCAATTTCCCACCCGGTACGTCAATTGGTGCACTGCTCGTTAACTGCGGTTTGTTCAGACTGCGAATTCTAACTGCTTCTCTTGTTTCCTGCAGATGTGGTCGTGGCTGCACACGAGAACGGGTGGATGGACTCCGCGGGTGTCGTCCGCTGGCTTGAGGAGGGCGTCAAGCCTTTCTTGAAGCCCAGGTTCGGTAGATGCGCCAAGAGCTCGATGCTGGTGCTCGACTCTTACCGCGGTCACCTCACCCAGGAAGTGAAGGACAAGCTTCGCAAGATGAACTGCGTGCCGGCAATCATCCCGTCGGGCTGTACGGCGGAGGTTCAGCCCCTGGATGTCTCCATCAACAAGAGCTTCAAAGCGTCGGTCCGCCAGCAGTACCAGCGGTGGTTTGAGGCAGAAGGGCAAGAGCAGCTGACGACAGCAGGTATGGAATGAGCGCGTTGTTGTGTTTCAACCCCCCTTCCTTTTGCTTACCGTATGTATTGTTGGATTAACGGGATTCCATCGTTCTCCCGTTATTTTCACGGAACTTGAAGAAGCCTCCTCCGGAGGTCGTCCTGAGGTGGATATCTCAGGCCTGGAAGTCAGTGCCTGCCGAGCTGATAAAGCGTGCCTTCCTCACCTGTGGCATCAGCAACGCGCTCGACGGCAGTGAGGACGGCCTCGCCATGGCGCACAGGCGGAGCCAGCTGACGGCGGAAGTGGACGTCGACGATGACATCATCGCTGATTGGTTTTTTGGCAACAACTGCCAAGAGCCCGAATCTGACGAAGACTAGGCTAGTTAGCTAGAATTAGTGTTGCTAGACCTGCTGTTTCAGGTCTCTGATGTTGTAGCTGCTGTCATGATATTGTTATGAATGTGATTTCAATGTAAAACCAGCTAAGTAGTCAAATGGTGGCGCTTATAATAAGTACACAAATCTCAGGGGGGGCGCTTCTTATCGAGGTCCGGCCATAAGCGCCATGCTCCAGATAGAGGCGCCAGCGCCTATAATCGGACGGCGCCTATATCCGGGGCGATACGGTATATCCGGGGCCATACGGTATGCAGGTTGCAGCTCCCTGAACAGTGGATTGCATATCAATGACTCCCTTTTTCCTTGCCACCTCTCACTAAGCCAAACCATGTTCAGTCTGCAGGAGAGTGACCTCGACCCATCAGTTGGCGATGGGGTGCTGGCACAGGATGTTCACGCCAATCCATGCAAAGCTCGGAAATACAGGTGCACCCGAAACTGCGTGCCTCCTGCTGCACACGTTGCAGCTCGGAGGGGTGGTAGCACACATGGTACCACGCAAAGGCACGCGCCCGCACTGTTGCATGGTCGAGACGCGTTGCTTCTTCCGCAGCCTATTACACATGCACATCCACCACAAAGAATTATTTTCAACGACTGTAACCAGCTTGCACGGCCAAACAGCACAACAGAGTTTCTTTCACATTTCTAGGCACGGCAAAGCAAAGGCTCCATGGAGCACTGCAGCAAAGCAGGCATGTCCCCACCCCAGCACTCACCTCAGCGCTGGGCTTGTGGGCAGTTGGAGCAGCGTCTGGCACCATCGCCTTGATGCCCTGCACCACGTTCACCTTGGGCGTCACTCGCAGCCGCGGATCCTTCTTCTGTTGCTGCTGCTTCGTTCGAGCAGCAGGAAAAGAGGCGTCACTGCTGTCGTCATCAACATCATCGTCTTCCTCCCCTCCGTGCTTTGCCCCGCACACGAGCAGGCGGTGGTAGTGGCGGTGCAGGTTAGAAAACATATTGCGCACTTGCTCGCGCACAGCATCGTCCTTGCGCCCGTTGCGGTGCGATGCCTGAAGCATGCTACCTGTTGCCACCTCCGCCTCCGTCATGATGCCAAACTGCATACGCCATGGGTGGGGGGCACACATGCATGCACACATGGGAACAAACATGCACGCACACATGGGAACACACATGCATGCACACATGAGAACACACATGCACACACACATGGGAACACACATGCACGCATACATGAGAAGACACACATAGGAACACACATGCACGCACACATGGGAACACACATGCATGAATACATAGTGCCCACCTGGTGCAGGATGTGCAGCATGGAGCGGTCATACGCCCACTTGAGCTCCCTGTCCTCCTGCACATGCTGCTCGAACCCCTCCACACTTAGGTCCTCCGTGTACGCAGGCCCCACCTCCTCCACGCGCGCCCACCGCAGCCTCGTGCGCCCATCCTCCAGCACCGCCACCTCGTCCTCCCACCCCATACCCTCGCCCGCCCCCTCCCTCACCTCCCTCGCCTCGTGCACCTGCCGAGCCGCCTCCTCCTCCCACTCCCTCCGCTCTTGCGCCGTCTCCTCGCCCCCCGCCCCTTCCTCCTCTGCCACCGCAGGTACTACGCGCGGCAGATCGTCATCATCATACACCACGGCAGTGTCTTTAACTGCACGGTACAGGCGCCCCAGCACCTTGTTGGACTCGTACGTCTCCTTACTCGAGCCCTTCTCCATGAAATCGGGGTACTCCTGCACGCGCAGGTCGTGTGGCATCTGTCCCGCCACGCCCGTCTTGGGGAGGTCGAAGGCGATGGCGGCCTCGTGTGCCAGGAGCAGACACGCGAGGTCGAACGCACCCTGGGGTCTGCGGTCGGCGTGCACGGCGTTCGGTCCGGTTTGAGCAACATGCAAGGTTCGAAAAGGTTTGCACAAACATGTTTGAGTTCGGTTCGTGCTCATATCTAGAGAGGAGTGCAGGCATGGAGGGAGCAGTGTGTGTGGCGGGAGCATTGGGGGACATGGAGTGGGGAATTAAAGGGAGTTGGGCAGGACTACATGGGAGGCTGGAACCGTGCATTGTTGTCAAGAGAAGAAACAGACCTTGCTTGTGATGCAGGCTGTTACTTGGGGTATGAGTACAGGGGGTATAGAGAGGCATGGAGTAGCAAATAGGCCACTTGGGAAACAACAATTCGGAGGAGATATTAACTGGAGAAATCAACAATAGTGCACATTAGGGGCTTGTGATACATAAGTAGAACGGGTGTGCATAGAAGGGAGCAGGCGTGGACTGACTGACCTGCATGTGCAGAAAGACGTGGTCCGGCACTCCCAAGGTGGAGAGTAGTGTGATGATCTCGCGATTGAGGAAGCACGGCAGGGGGCGCGTCCAGTTGACCACCTCCACATCCGCATGCTGCGACTCAAATTTGACCATGCTTGGCCGGATCCACATGTGCGTCACTGCTGCTGCCCCTGCTGCTGCTTCGGTTGCTGAGGTTGCTGTACTGCCTTCACCCTCTGCTGCCACGCCAGGGAGGGTTTCATTGACCGCAGCAGCATCCACATGCACATCACTGCTGCCACTAGCACCCGCGCCCTCCCCTGCATGCATCCACGAGTCAGTGGCGTAATCCCCTTGGCGGAACATCAAGTTCACCACCTGCCGATGCACACCACTTGTGCTCCCACCATCCATGGCAATCGCAGCCCTGCTGCCACTGTTCCTGCCGCCATTGCTGCCGATGCCGCCTGCCTTTCTGTGCGGGTCTGCCTCGTGCTCCACTTGCTGCATGACCCAGCGAGGCCACACCGTGATGACCCCCTTCACCCCTGCATATCAGATCTGAAAGGCCGATGGCGCCCGCAGCAATGCCCTCCCCCGCTCCGCCGCGCCTCCCTTCTTCCTTTTTGCCCCACTGCTGCCAGCCCCACTCCCACTCCAACTCTCCTTCTCATTCGCACTCCCACCCTCCTTCGTGTTCCCAGCCCCACTCCCACTCCAACTCTCCTTCTCATTCGCACTCCCACCCTCCCGTACACGCCCACTCCGAATCTCCTCATTCCCACTACCACCCTCTGCAGCAGCACCCCCAACATCACCTCCACAGCTTCCCCCACTCTCACCACCACCCGCATCACCCTCCCCCGCACGCATCCCAGAACCAGCGTCGCTCCACCCAGCACCCACGGGCCTGTCAAGGTAAGGAGCAACGGCATCTGCCAGGGCCTTGCCCGCCTCTGGAGACACGGCATCCACTCCGTCCGTGAAGCACAAGTTGCCGCGCGTGACATCGGGGATCATGCGCACGTGGGCACGGGGGAGGGGCAGCGAGGTGAAGCGTGCGGAGAAGCACTGCCCCATGCGTGCCGCACACTTGGCCACGTTGCGGATAGCGGAGAAGGTGCCCATCCACGCCTGGTGGTGTTGCTCCCCCCTCTCACTCCCCCACCCCCCCTCTCGCCCACGCCGGTTCGCCACAGAAACCCACTCACACCAGCATCCACAAGCATGCACCCACATGCAGAGAGAAAGCAGGTGGTGAGGGAGATTCAGAGAAGAGACACGCGGGTGAAAGGCAGAGAGAGGGGTGCGCTCGTGGTGGCAATGTGGGAAGGAGAAGGCACGGTGCTGAAGCAGTCGGAACCCCCAAGGCTGGGATGACATGCGCCATGCCCCAGGCAGCCTCCCTCCTCCCTAATGGCCCCTACAGCAACGCCAGGGCATGATGGCTGATCCTACCCACAGCGAAGCAGTCCCTCTGTGCAGTGCAGTGCAGTGCAGTGCAATGCAGTGCAGAACCCACCTGCACGGAGGCAACGGTGAGGCTGAGCGCATCATCCTCTGCCAGGAACCATGCTGACTTCTCCCTCAGCTGCGATGCTGACAACGCCAGGAAGCGGTAGTGCCGCCCACACAGGCTGAAACCCTGGCACACAGGGCACGCAAGCAGCACAGGTGGGGGCGGGTGGAGGGGGAGAGGGGAGAGAGGAATGAGATTGAAGCTACGCAGGAAGCGGTGCACGAAGACTTGGGAAGAGTGAGGAGAAAATTATTGGCTGGCATGAAGGCAAGGTGACGGGATTGGAAAGGAACGCAAGGTGGCTGACTGACATGAAGATGAAGTCATGAACCAGTTACCAGCACCACGATTCTCCCTATGCAGCATGCAGCATGAACCCTGCACCCATGTGCACTGGTCCCACATCACCATCGCACAACCAACTCCTGCCTGCCTCCTCGCACACGCACACAGCGGCACCACAAGCAGCCCCCAAGGCGAGTGCTGTGCCTCACCTCTTCCACGAGGCTGAGAATGCGGCGGTACACGTTGGTGTGCCCAGCAACACCCTCACGGCGCCCAGCGGCGTCTCTGAGGGCGAAGGGTGACAGGGTCTTTAGGCCCTCGTCCGTGAAGGCGACGCGCAGGAAGCGGTGCGCGTGGGGGCGGTAGTGCGTGAGCACGCGGTTGGTCAGCTCCACGCCCGGCATGCAGCACTGCGCGCCCAGCGGTGTGATGAGCAGCCGGAACACCACCACGTGGTTCGCTGGTAGCCTCCACGGCCACGTGCTGCTCTCCCCTTCGCTCGCTTCCCCTGCCTTCTCCTCCGTGTCTCGTTGTTCCTGCTGCGACTGCGGCTGCAGTTCCAACTCTCCCACAACTGACCCTTGCTGCTCTGCTCCCCTCTCACTCTGGTGCTCACGCGTCCCCTCTGGTTCCTTGGCTCGCCCCGTATCGGTGCCTCCCCGCGTCTGCAGCCTGCCGTGGTGGCGCATGGCGCGGGCGATCTGGTGGAACTTCCTGGCGGGGTCGAATTCAGGGCGGGAGAAGCGGAGGAACTCCATCAGCACCGCCACGGCAGCGGGCACAAGCTCGTACGCCAGAGTGCGGTACAGGGAGGTAGTCACGGCAGTGGGGGGGATGGTGCCTTGCTGTACCAGCGCTGTGAGCAGGTACAGCACTGGAAAGGCCAGCACAGCTGGCACTGCAGACCCGCTGCTGTTGCCACTGCTGCTGGTGGTAGTTTTGGTGTTGGTGCTGTCAGCTGGGGTGGTGACGGCACGGCGGTATTGGGGAGCCAGGACGGGTCGAGGGAGATGAAGGGGGCGAGGTGGATGGGCGGGGCGGCAGCATAGCGGGCGGTGATGGCGACGCGCGGTGGGTCGCCCAGGTAGCGTGCTCTGAGGTGCAGCGATGCAGTGCGCATGTGCTCTGCTATGCGCCTCACATGGATGCCATGCCGCACCGACACTGACACCTGCATCACCGACGCCGCTCCCAACACCCCTCCACTCCACACCCGCCCCTTCCACCCACTCACGCCACGGCCTCCACTGCTACCAGGCCCACTGTCCCACCGCCCCGCACCAGCACCTCCCCTTCCATCATCCCCAACGCCCACACACGCGCCTGCTGCTGCGCTTGTACAAGCGCCCGCCCTCCCCCCCGCGGGGAGGAAGTGCTCCTCAGTGGTTCGGGTCCACGGGTCGCCATCATCAGGGAACCATCTGTCGGGCTCCAGCTGCCACACGTCTGTGTCGCGGGGGGTGCCGTCCTTGGTGCCTCACAGGCGCACGTCCCACATGCGCCACTCTAGCTTGTACTCCACTCGCTGGAACGCCAGGGGGATGGACGCCAGGGAGCCACCACAGAGCGCTGCACCTGCATCCTCCCTTGCACCCCCCTCTCCTGCCGCGCGGCCACCCTACCCCGCACCACCCCTCCCCCGCTCACCCGCCTTTGCCTGCACCACCACCCGCACGTGCCTCTCCAGAAAGTCAAACTCCACGCGGCAGCTCTCGGGCTTGGAGCGCCACGTCAGCGCCAGCTGGCCGGGCTGGTGGATGAAGCCGAGGTGCACAGTGGCGTGGGAGAGCAGCCCCTCAGGCTCGCGGCACTGCTCCATGGTGCACTGCAGTGCCAGCTGCTGCCCTTTCAGCACCAGCGCCTCCTCCCTCGCCATCACAAACTCCGCCACCTCTGCTGTGAGGAAGTCTGCGTACCCATACCCTGCCGACACCCACTCCTACCGGTACCGCGTCCCCCCCACCACTGCTCCCTCCCCTGCGCCTGCTGCCCCTCCTGTGCTGGCTGCGCTTGCTGTGGCTCTGCCAGCGGGCAGGGCGCGGATGCGGGTGTACCCCTTGATCTTCACGTGGTCCACAATCACGCCCAGTGCGTCTCGCACAAACGTCGCCACTGTCTCCGCGGACGTGTCCGGTGGAATGCGGTCGATGCGGATCTGAGCCGACGGCCTGCGACTGCTGGGCCTTTGACCGCCGCCCCTGCCGCTGCTGCCTCTGTTGCGAACCCCGCTGTTAACAGCAGCACTGCTGTTACTCTTGCTGCCACTTGCGGTGGTGGGTCTAGTGGTGTTGGAGGGTAGCTGGGCAGCAGAAGCAGCAGCAATAGACGAGCCAGCATCGCTCTTCCCGCCCTCCCCCTCACCAGCACCAGCGCCACCGTGCACAGCGGGCCCGGGGTTGCGCAGGGCAGCAGGCCAGGCCATGGCGTGAACATCAGCAGTGAACGCCGCAGCAGCAGTGGGGCCAATGAGAGCAGCGTCCAGGTGGCTCACATGCGCGCTGCTGCCCCTGCCCGTGTTCATGCTCGCGCTAGCAGAGCTGCTGCCCCACGGGGAAATCATGGCGCCCGCATGAGGGCCACCTGCGAACTCCACACTCGCGCTGCTCTCACTCCCTCTCCGCCACCTCCCGCTGCCGCCCTCCCTACCCCCGGAGTCATGCCTATGCTCATATCTATCCTCGTGCCTATTCTCATGCCTATTTTCATAACTATTCCCATGCCTATTCACGTACCTATTCTCGTGTCGACGCTCGTGCCACTGCCCCTGCCGCTCTCTCGGCGCAAGCGACTCCCCGGGACCACGCCCATGGACGCTGCTGCTGGGCTCGCGGAGAAGGGCGGAGCTGGTATTTGCGCCAGCAGGACCTGCGACAGCGGGCGCCGCGCGTTGGGAAGGAAACGCGCAATCCATGCTCTCTGTGGCCGGCGCGGTTGCAGCCAGGTGACGGAAGAGACAGAGGAGAGGTGGGAGGAGTGGAAAGGGAAGAAGCGCTCGGGTTCTGTTGACATGGTCGCGATGGGTGCACGTGAGCAGTCACAGAGAGGCGACGAAGAAGAGTTGGGGTGGCACGGGGGAAGAGGAGGCGAGGGAGGAGCGAGGAGCAGGGAGAGGAATGTGGCAGGCAAGCCAGTGAATCAGTTCAAAGGGGAATTTGCTGGTCAGCAGTTGCAGCAGCAGGATGATTAGGAGAGAGAGAGCCTGGCGAACGAGGCACACCAGTAGCAGATTTAGCACTGGTATCTTCCCCGAACTGCTCACTTTCTCCAAGGAAGCCACCTTGATGGTTGTACCCGCCCTTAGCTCAGCTTGCTCAACGGTCACGTCGGAAAAAACACACACACACACACACACACACTTGCTGACCAGCAGCCATGAAACGAACTTGCTGCTTCCGATTTGGCAATTCTTGCTCCACCACCTTAACCCATCTTGACCTCCCTATGGACGACGTGCCGCGCACGGCAGGCAGCAGTTGGGCAGGTGGGACTGAAACAAACGGTTGAAAACGGATAAGAGAAGCTCGTCAGGAGCAACAGTGAGAGATATGTCCATGTGTGATGCAATCCGCTCAATCCCGACGCTATTGTTATTCAAACGGCCGTCATCTGTGACGCACCCTGCGGTCTCGCCACATTCGTACGGCCGTCAGATCCACAGCTCGTCGGACCAACTGGGATTTGAGAGTATTCCGGTAATTGATGTCGGTTGCTGCAAAAATCTTCTCGAATTCGCTAAAGCCAGCCAATAGTACCTTCACTCATTTTCATATTCGCGAGGCGGAAAGGCTGGTCGGAACACTCTCCCGATAGATGACTTGACTCTAACGAGACTGTGATCGCTAAGTAAGCTGTGATCGTGATCAATGAAATATTATCAGGCCAAACATGCGACGCTTTCCGATTCATACGACGCTATGCGACGCGTTCCCAATGCCCGTGCCATGCGAGGCTTCTGCAATTGTGACCATCGTTCTCTACATCCAATCATGCTCAGTCGTATGGGATAGATAAAGTGCTTGACGAACATGCTTATCGCATAAGACGCTGCCCGCCATCCCAGGACCGTCGATGTAACGCGGGACCTACTCTACCTAAACCTACCGCTAGCTTCCTAAGTCAACATCGAGAAATTGGTCGATGAAAAATGACTCGAGGAGCATAGGGAAGGTTGAGTGGGAGGGGAAGGTTGGTTGGGTTGTTCCAAACCTCAACCTTGAGGCTTGGAAACTTCCAACCCAACAAGTGTGAAGATTGAATGGTTGGATTTCCAACCAATCAGAATTTGCCAGATGTTGTTACAGTCCACACAAACTTAAAACAACCATACAATTGTGCTAAGTTGGGTTTTTCCCAACCAAACTAAATTGCCACCTAGGCTCCAAGCCTATTAGCTCCCCAACCATGGAAGCCATGGTTGGGAAGAGCCCCAAGGGGTATTGTGGAAGGGGTTGAAGCTTTCAAGCTCATTCCCACTTCCCAACTCCAACTTACCAACTTGGAAATGGGATTTCTCTAAGTCATTTTGGTTCTCCTAACAAATTCTCCTACACAACTAAACTTGTGTTATTTTCAAGGATAAGCTCTACAAGAAGCTACCACATTACTCAAGCTTCATCAATCTTCTTCAAGCTCTCCTTCTCCTCTCAAGCTTGAAGAGTGCCATCAAGGCTAGATTATCCATTGGTGGGATTAGTTAAACTTGGAAGCCTTATATTGTGATCTTATAAATATTGTCAAGGGTGACTTATATTTAACACACGGTTGCCCATTGTTATAAGGGCCGTGGTTGTTACATTGGTATCTAGAGCTAGGGTTATCCTAAGCCTAGTGGGGATTTTGCCCCTAGAGATTTTTTTTTTATAGATCTTAGAGTTGTGATTTCTCTTTAAAGAGAATACTCAAGATCTGGAAGCTTGAAGAGTTTAAGATCTACAAGATCTACAACTGCAATTTCAAGCTAAAAAGAGAGATTTTTATCTCTCTTGCCCACCTTTTGGTGGAAGACTCTCTACTGTTGAGTAGTGGAGTATAAACTTGGACCTGGAGGATTTGTTGAGGGTTATACAAGTTCTCTTTATTGAGATTTGGATAGACCCTGCCCTTTCACTTAGGTGATTGGGAGTGCTTGACAACAAATCTGTTACCTTGGGTAACTTGGATTATTCTGTAGAAGAAATTTCTTTTATAAGAATTTCTTGCTTTACCATTGAGGTGGTAAAAAGACTTTAACAGAATCAACCCAGATCTTACAAGCTCCCTTAATCCTTATGGCATCTGGCCAAGAGAAGGATATGGCAAGGGAGGAAGGGCCCACTGCACCTAATGAGGTGGTGAACAATGCTGCTGAGATTGACCTCAATCAAGATGAGGCAATGGCTGACATTGAATTGGATGATATTGAGGACTTGGACCTGGACCTTGAAGCTGAGAACCATGATGAAGCTGAGCACCATGGTGAAGCTGAGCACCATGGTGAAGCTGAGAACCATGGTGCCCCTGACAACCTTGGGGAAGAGGATAACACCTGTGGGAAGGAGGCCACTGGTGATGAAAATGACTTCACTGAGGGTGAAGGCACGACTTATCCTATCTCCGAGGAGATTGTCCAACTCCAGGCTAAGGTGGCAACTCAGAATATCACCATCCTGCAGCAGCAGACGTCCATTGATGGACTCAAGAAGCACACTCAGAACCTCGAGGCTCGACTGAGCATTACCATGAAGGAGGTTACTGAGTTCCGTCGCAGCCTGGGCACTAAAAACCGTGAAATTGAGTGGCTTCAGAAGACTTGCAATAATTGTTGAAATATATATGTAACTGCCTGTAGCTGTAGTTTAGTGTAGTTATTATAGCTTGTTGGTGGTGCACCTTCTTTGCATGCTTTGTTTGCTATTTGTACCTCGCTCAATAGTGAACTCATCCTCTTTTGGCAAACTCTCTCGACATGTTCCTCTCTAAGTCTCCTACTACCCCAAACCCTAGTCTTCACTTAATCTACTATTTTGACATGGTATCAGAGCTGGGTCGTTCTAAGACCTACTTTTCTTTTTCCCCATGGGCCCACCACATATCCCCCCGCTCATGGCGCTCGTCACGCCCCCCGTCGCGGCCGTAGTTACGACGGTTGCAATGGTCGCGACCGTCAAAACGGTCTCGGCGGCGAGCTGCGCGACGGCGTCAGATGCGGCCTCGTTTCGGCCCCCCGTCAGCGCCCTGCACGTCCGCGCTTCCTGCGCCCTGCTCGTCCCGTCCGTGGCGCCCTCCCCGTCGCGCCCGTTGCGCCCTGCTCGTCGAGCACCGCGCGCAGCTGCGTACGGCCGCGCATTGCTGCGCGCAGCCGCGTACGACCGTGCGCACCCGCGCACGGTCGTGTGCGCCAGCACCAGCGCCCGTCGCCAGCACCTGCGCGAGCGCCAGCGACGACGCCAGCGCCAGCAGCAGCTAACGCCGCCCCCCCCTTACCTTCCGCACCTTCCGCCGTGGGGGGGGGGAGATGTGGGGGTGGCGTGTGTGAGTTGCCTGCAGCCCGTCCTTCCCCTCCCTTCAGCGGGGTCCGTCGTGAGGGGGGGGAGAGGTAGCGGGGGGAGGGTGAGGGGAAAGGGGGAGAGTGTGAGGGAGTGGAGAGAGATTCTACCGAGCCAGCAGCCGCCCCTCCTCCTCTCTATCCCACTGCTGCACGTGCCGCCGTGGGAGGGAGGGTGAGATGGTGGCGGAATTCAGCTAGGCATTTGCAGCTGCCGCTCGCTGCTACCGTGGCACCTACTGCTGCCTCCCCTGCCTCCACCTGCTGTTTTACTTCCTTCTACTGTCTTTTGCTGTTGAGCGACAGGTGCTGCCGTTGAGCCCTGCTGCTGTGCCGCCGCACGTTGCCGCCGCAAGCACCCGCTCTCCAGGCGACCTGCCGCCACATGCACCTTTGTCTATTGCTTCTACCTTGGTTGAGGGGTTGGTGCAGCTGAATCTGCCACCACTGCACAGGTTGCCACTGCTCTTGCCTACTGTTGCTGTTTTCTCTGTTCGTGGTGTACCGATCCAAGAGGTGTTGCTGCACAAACTCCTGCTGCAGGCAGTTATGGGGGAGTGTTGAAATATATATGTAACTGCCTGTAGCTGTAGTTTAGTGTAGTTATTATAGCTTGTTGGTGGTGCACCTTCTTTGCATGCTTTGTTTGCTATTTGTACCTCGCTCAATAGTGAACTCATCCTCTTTTGGCAAACTCTCTCGACATGTTCCTCTCTAAGTCTCCTACTACCCCAAACCCTAGTCTTCACTTAATCTACTATTTTGACAATAATCTGCAAGTATTATTCAACAAGCTCAATGAGCAGGTGACCAAACTTAGGAGGGAGGGTATCTACGAACCTCCTCCTGGGCGTAGGCCCGCTCCTGCTGCTCAGTCGGCACCCGCTCCACCCGCACCCCCAGCGGTAGGCGCTGCGACGGCTATGCATCAGCCACCTCCAACTGAGACCTCGCCTTTTGGGTCTCTCTCGGCGCCTCTGCCTGAGTTTAACCATCGCAAGACGGAGGTGCAGCCTTGGCTTGATCTGGTGAATGAAACCATGATCCTTGCGAATGTGCGTCCTGAGGCTCGCGTCACTGCAGCCACTCGTGCATTGGACGAGGTGGCCCGCAGGGCAGTGTATGGCGCTAAGAAGCAGGCGCATGGACCATTTGGGTGGCCGGAGTTTTGCACCGCGCTGAAAGAGGCATTCATGGTCAAGAAGTCCGACCTGGAACTGCGCGGACGCCTTGAGCATATCAAGTGTCATGACCGTCCGGTGCAGGAATATGCGGTCGAGTTGGAGGCCGCAGCACGCTCGCTCCAGAAGCCCTTGTCTGAGGAGGAGATGATGCACCTCTTTATGAAAGGCCTCCCTGTCAACCTGCAAGAGGCACACATGATCGGCGGCATGACCAATTGGACGACTTACAAGGAGCTGAAGGAGCAGGTGATCAAAAATGACACCGTCATTCGCACATATATCCATGGTCCTGCAAAGGCCGA